TTGACAGGTGATACCACTTTATAAAGTCAAATGGGGCAATGAGACTTACGGAGACTATTGTGAGGGAGGAACTGTGTTTTCAGCTGCACTTGAACCTGGGATGATATCACTTTGAACTTGTTGGAAATCAAGTTTCCACCACTTAAAGCCTGAGAACTGAAAACACAGAAGAATGGAGCCAAGACATAGACAGAAACAGAATCCCAAGGCTGTCAATGAAACCCCGACTCTAAGTCAGGTGCCTGAAAGCAATCCTGCTCCCAGAGATGGCAGTTCCATGAGCCAGTTATTTCCCTTTTTGTTTTTTTTTTGTTTAATCTCGTTACCTGWGTTTTCTGTCACTTGATTTCCAGTGATTCCTCACAATAGAAGAGGGTAGGGAAGGACAATGGGGTGGATCGCTGCCCAGTTTCCTTAAGGCTAAGATAAGTGGAGGGAGCATATCCATTCTCCCCAGGTTGTATCAAGAATGGATCAAGGTCTTTGGGTTGGTCCTATTCCCTCTAAGAGACCCAGGGTCAGAGAATGTGTCCCCACGTTTGAACTCAGGATCCAGCTATCTTTCATTTTTCAGTTTCTACTTTGATAACACATGAAGCTATTTKACTCTTACCCTGCCTGCTTAGTGAGAGACTTCCTGACCCAGTCATGTCTCTGTAATCCTACTTTACACAGCTGTAGACAGATTGAGATTAGTGAAGCAGCTGGGGAGAAAGGACTGCCTGAGACAAATCACAGGGCTGGGTTTTCACCCAGTGTTCCCAGGGTGAAGAGTTTCTGAATGAAACTCTTACACTTGATTTCTTCACATCTACATGCCCAACGACATACAAGACAATTTTATGTTTTATGATTATGTCATTTTAGCAGATTAAGAAGATTGGATGGTAGTGAGTATACAAAACTCTTCTCTACCTCCCCTCCCATGCTCCTAATCATATTTTAGAGCCTAAATACTATTAAAGCTAATGCTGGCCCCTCCCTTCTCAAACCCCAAACTCCTTCAACACCAAAAACCTCAGTCTATGCCACGGCACAGGAAAAGAACTCAACTCTTCCACTTGAAGGATAAAATGTTGTTAAGAATAAATATCACTGATTACAAATTGCAGAAATCCTCCTCAGAGGGCATGTCCCAATGAGTCAATGAATTTGCTGGCTAGAGGAAGACAAACGTGGTGTTAAATTTTACTCTCAGGATTGCTTGGTGGATAATTTTCTATTTGCCAACAAAACACACATCTACAAAGATGCTAACAATGCTCTGCAGTTCCTGGGTACATCCTGCTGGGGGCTGGCTGGGCCACAGGCTCCCTGGGGCACAGGGAGGGAGTACCTTTAGGTCATAGTTATTGGTTTGAGGATTTCAGAATTTCCTAAGAGGTATACTCTGTGACTACYTAGAAACTCCAGACCCCAAGATTCTGCAGGATGGTTGCATGAATATCCAACCAAGGAATCTCCCTGCACCTGGATTCTGCCACACTGCAGCCCAAGTGTGAAGTCAATGGATAAGTTGAACTATCTTACTTAAATGAGCCCAAGGGTTATTTTTGTTGTTGTTGTTGTTCTCTCAATTTCAGCATATTTACTTCCCGAAAGTCATTTCTTTTCACACATTCCCAGAAGCTGACCCGATCATGCCCCGCAGAAAGTTATCTTCCAGCCTTTGCCTTCCTTCTTGGGTAAACACCATCAAAACAAAGTTCCAATCCTCTTTCTAAATCAACTTTTATGAGATATTTTCCACACTGATTCCCTATCTGTGAGCTTTCAATCTGAGGGATTTCATTTTGTTTATATAAAGTTTTGTTCTGCACAAATTATGCCTTAGTTGGTGGGCACAGTAATTCATGAAAAGAGAGATGATGGGTAACCTTGGAGAGTTCAGGATGAACAGGCCCAAAACAACCACTCAGTRATACTCAGTTCATTATCTTTTCCCTCTTCCTGTATCTGCATTGAGTCTGAAAGACAAGAAAAATAAAGAAAGGGCTCAGATTCAAGTCTTTCCTCTCTTTGGGCGGGTGTGGATATTCAGTAATCATGACTTGCTATTAAAATTAATGAAGCTCTGTGTTACTAAGCTATCATTCATTTACAAAGGCACAACAACGTTTTCTTATATTTCTACACTGGAAAACTCAAAGAACTTTTTTCTCTATGTGATCAATTGATGTTTCAGGAAGTATTTCTTTCCTTGACAAGGGCACAGCATTGCTGTCCTAGCATGCAGAGTTGGGACCCCTGCCTCTGATCAGCATCTCTCAGAAGCTCCACAGTTCCTCCACWTCAACCCAAAAACAAAGGCTTGGCCGTTCCACCTAGGATGGGAAGGGGACTGAAGATCAAGGGTTGGGACTTTTCTTCTCCTGCAGGTATTGTGAACTCTCTTTATCACTGAATCCAGGGTCACTGAATCATTGCTTGAGATTCACCRTGGAGCCATATACTATGTGCACAAAGTTTCTCCTTTTTCCCTGGAATGATAATGATCTAATCTGTCTTGAGAGTTCAGATTTCTCCCTTTGCCAATAGAGCTGATTTAGGGAAGTGGGAAGAAGAACAGCATAAAGAAGCTACCAGCTGCTCAGAAGTCTGGAATAAGCTTTCCCTTATCTGATCGTTGTCTCTACTTTTCCAAAATATTAAGATAGAAAGTGGAAAAGCATACCATACCAGAAGTAAAAACCAGAATTCCAAAAGAAGAGGTGTGCCTCCKTCATCTGAAGAACCCTGCTATGCCAGGCAGTGGACACTGAGAAAGTGAGCTCCGGACTTGAGAATCCTAGGTCACAGCAGAGTTTCCAATCATGAAGTGTCCCCGAGGGGTGGACCATAAAGAAGAAGGTGAACACTCAGAACTCAYCCCTGACCCTCCCAGGTACCACCAGTGTCTTAGCCTGAAGACACCCCTCCACCTGTCCCTTGCCCTCTTACTTTCCAACTTCTTTGCTTCATTGTATATTCTCACCTTGTACAATTTCTGCTTCTTCCACCTGTGACTCAGTGTGTCTTGCACTAATGAGTATATTATAGAGGTCAGAAGTCAGGGCTCTGTGTAGAGTAGCCCTCCGAATTGCTCCTCCAGAAGAGTGAGAAACTGGCCCACCACCTCCTGTTAGTCATGGTGCATGGGATACTTCAGAGCTTCAAACTCTCCTGCACTCCTGTCCTGTCCTTCAGGGAGGCCGTGCTGGCTCCTGCCCTCAGGAAGCTTGCTATGGGAATGGTCGCCGAGGGGGGCAAGAATATAGGGGCCAGTCACTGGCAGAATCACCTGCAATCCTCTAACATATTTCTCAGGAATGGGCTTCTACATCCTCATATTGTGAAGGGAACTTCTGAGTCAGTGGTCTATTCTTCCGTATTCTTTTAATAAATAAAATATTCTATTCTTAACTTCTYATCCAATATTAACCAGCCCATGTCACTACCTTGTGACACCTTCAGGAGTTGCCCTGTACACTCGCCTTCCAAGGTTGCACTTTCTCCTCACCCATTTGTCACTGGGTGGGCCAGGCTGTGAACTCATCCTGGAGTGCTGCCTTCCAACCACACGACAGCTGCTTCTGTATTTTTGACCCTTCCGTATCCTTAACTACACTGACCTGGAACCTTCCTGATCAGTTTCCTCCTATCCATTAGTCGGTTCTTAAGTCTTAGGCAACTCTAGTTTCATCAGTTCGTCTTTCCTGGAAGATCACTGTGCATGGGGACACTATTTTGTGTAGAAAGTAAAGGCTTTAGGATGAGTTGTTTTTTGGAAACTACCTCTCAAGGAATAATAAGCTCATTTCTCTATGACTTTTCCTAAAACGTTGCTTTTGAAATTATCATTTGTTTTTCTCAGACTCTAGCTGTGGTCAAAATGGTTATATTTAAGATGCCAATTATCTTACTTTGATTCAAGCACTAATATCACCGTAGAAACTGTTTTATATTACATTCTACTTAAACCCTTCCTGCTGTATATGCGTTAGAGCAACCTGAGTGACTATACTGCATGTGTAGGCCACAGATTAACTCCCRTCCACACAAAGGAGCCTCTTTGCATGAATCTATTTCTGCATTTTACTGGCTTCCTCTCATCATTGATGTCCCCAGTTGGCATATCTGTCCTATGTGTTTTTGAGGTCTGGACTTAATATGGATACCCACTATTCCTAAAATAATTAGGAGTTATTAAGGCAGAAAACTTGCCTGGATGTGCTTAGTAATCTCTAGTTTAAGWATTGCTTTGAATAACAATTTGTTTCTCTTGTTTTTCCTCGGAATCTTCCTGTGCATGTGGGGCTTCTCTGACCTCTTCACATTAGATAGCGATCCATCAGTGCCTAAGTATACCTGCAAAYAGCTGATGATCCTAATGTAAGTGGCAACATTCTCTCTTATTCATGCTTATGCAGCCATGTTCCAAGGGACCTGGGGAATTTTATATTCCAGAAATCACTATTAATCGTGTCTTAAGTTCTCTCCTCTTCTCCAGAGACATGGCTTGCAGTTCCCAATATTGCAACCAGAGTCAAAAGAGACTCACTCAGATATCATCACTGCTGTTCCTCAGGAGCAAACACCAGGTAAACCTTCTGAATAATGAGACACCCATTCCCTCGAGCCAGTGGCGGAGCATGCTGTATCTTCCTCTGGCTGCACCACTGTACAGAACAGAACATGATGCAGTCTTTTCAGCTGTACACTCTCGTATTCAGGCCTGAGGCTACAGCGTTTTTGACTGCTCCCTCCAGCTGCTTTTCAGTCTGCACTCACTAATAACTCCATTATAATATTTATAACACTGTCATTGAACTGAGAGCTTTGCTTGTCCCCACAGACACTATCAAATCATCCTCCATCTTTAGTTCTTGCTTATGCCTTCATTCTTTCCTGAGGAGGGCAGACCTGTTGACAGGGAGAATTGCAATTGAACGTCGTTGCCAACATCACGCCCACTGTAACTAAACACCAGCGTCCCATCTGCCTTGTCTTGGCTTACAGCCACCAGCTATGGATTCCAAGGGCTGGTAGACATGCAGCTGCAGTCTTGCTCCCCACATCAGCCTGGGTGAATCCGTAAGTAGAGCGCTGGCAGTGCTTGGATATTTCCTTTTCTTCTTTCTTGGATGCTGGATTTATTTGTGTTACTGAGGCAGGTGAATTTCTGTTGATGGGTTTGCAATGTACCATAATCTAACCTTTTCACCTAATGAAACTATGAGAGAGATAACATTGCATTTTAGAAACCTGAAGTGACATTAACAGAGTGGTGACAGGAATGAAATGTGCTCAAGGTGGGTCAGTGTGACACATGGGTCCTTAAGGGTGGTTCTTGCCAAAGTTGCTTGGCTCCCAGCATTTTAATGATTGAGATGGGACATGTGTTGTAACAGAATCTCAATGGCTACTGTGGGGAGGACAATGATGTAATATGAGAGCAGAGATGAAAGCAGGAGGGCAGGGGTTCCTGAGCACACAGAAGGCTCATGTCCTGCTTGTGTCTTGTTTGTCACCTCAGCATGGGGCGTGTTCCAGGAGGGGCAGCTGACTCCTTTGCACTGAAGGATCTAACGAATATATTGTTCATGGAAACCTCTAGAAAGTCAATCAAGGCAAAATTGCTCGGGCAGATCACAGAGACCCAGACACTAAGCATACACTTGACAACATCAATCATAAAACAAAAAATAATAGCCGCTATTATGAGCCAATACTGCCGTGATGTATTACATTTGACTCAGATCCTGGGACAAAACTTTCTCTTTTCAAGTGTGTGTGTGTGTGTGTGTGTGTGTGTGTGTGTGTGTGTGTGTGTGAAGATCCTATAAAGAAAACAGGAGTTATATATCAGAACGTTCAAAAGTTTTAGAGCAAAACTATAGTGAACATCTGGTCACAGAACAGTGTCGTGTTATCCCAGTTAAGCCGGGAAAATAAACACGAACGTGGTGCTATGCTTTTTCAGGTCTGAGAGCTGAGCTTTGCTTGGTGGGTTAATTAGACAACACTGATAAAGCAACTGATGAAGATGAGCGGAGGGAAAACTGTTAGGGCCCTACAGTCAGGTTGAAAGCAATGATACCTCATGGTGAAAACCAGAAGGAAGGGAAGTCCGTCAGCACAACAAGGAGGCTGAGCCAGCAGTTCCAGGAGCGTCTCAGCCACCTCCTTCCACTCCCGTTCTTTWGTTTTGGATAATGCAAGATAAAAATGCATACATAAGTAAGTCCATAAGTAGTCATTTATTGAATACATAATAAAACATTCTAGGGTATAAGAGAAGTTTCACGGGAAGGATTTTTATGTTTTGGAGGTTGATAAAAATAATCACATATTTTATATTAAATGGTGCCCTACAGTTTTTGGAAAATTATAGTATGTTTAATTTACCTGTCTATCAGCCTCAGCAAAGAACCAGACCTAAGTATTGGGGCAAATTTAATTACCAAAATGAACAGTAACTGGGAAGAAAAAAAATTTAAAAAAAAAACATGATGTAGAAGAAAACAATAACAGCAGCAATATACCATTAGGGCTTGCATTTCACTTGGTATAAATGGGTTTTATTCCCAGCCTCTTCACTTGAAATTCATAGAATTTTTGCAATCTAAATTTTTTTTTACCAGTTTTATTGTTGATAACTAGTACTGAATTAGAAAATATGTACAGGAATGTATATCACGGATTATAGAAACATTAAACAATACAATAATTGACAGCCTTCATAAAACAAGGAAAATGGTATGGAAATACATATGTAAAATAGTAATAGCAGTATAGATTTGAGTGATTTTTTAAGAAAAAGGGGATTTTTTGTATATATTTTAGAAGCATTCCCTTCAAAAAGGCTATTTTTTATGATTCTTTCCAGGGGTCCTGAAACTTTCTTCAGATCCTCCTTACCCAACTGTGACAAATAAATTAGATTTACTATGCTTTCTCTATTCTCAACAGGTACTTAATTTAGCTTGTTAGAAAAAAAATCACTCAAAATTGAGCACCAGGAACAGGAAAAATTACTATAGGTGTGGTGGGAAATTTAGTAAGATGTTAAATTGGACAGTCTGAACAGAACAGCAGTGGGACAGGCAAGCCTGGGATGGAATCAATGACAAAGGCATGCAAATTCAGGACAAAGTGCCAACAATGATACCAGTTATGGCCGCACCATCATTTTGTGGTCAGAGGAGTGTCCTTGTCAGTGACAGATGCTGGCTCTGTCAAGGTTTCTCACCAACTGAACAAGTAACCATTGCATAGTATTTCCACTCACTCTCTTAGTAACTGTTGCAGCTTATTCTTCTATTCAATTCCATGCTGTTTCAAGAAAATGCAATGAAATAAGAAATTTAGCTTTTTTTTAAAAAATGGAGCAGATGTATATGTGTCGACTTTGTTTTGTTGGAGAGATTTGATGTCTTTGCAGGTAGATGGTTCTTCCTCCTTGGATTTTCATTACACAGATCTATTTAAAACAAACCCAGTCAAACAAACTTGCATTCACTGTATGATTCCCAGAGCTAGGTTTAATAAGCAAAAATTGCTCATTTTTATAGAGTTTCTATCTTTTCCCTATTTATTTCCTTTTATTACAAGTTTTATTGAAAAGTGCTTATGGGGAATATCCAGTGGCAACAGCCTGGACAGACACCTCCTCTACAGTTGTCTGTTCTTCACCAAGTCATGCCTGCAACTCTCTTGACACTATTCAGGAAGCCCAGTAATGACAGGCCAGATAGATAGCGTGCCCATTCCTATTTGGGCTATGCCAGAGAATAGCATCTCCATCCCTCATGGCTCTCATGTCCTTAATTCCACACCAGCCACTGCAGGGAGAGGGTTTTATAAGTCAGACTACAGTCTCAGTGACAACACTAACATAGCTGGCTTTGTCCATTTTGTGACCTGCATCCCAAGATTTTTTGCATGCACCTCTCTGCATATGACACAATAAGTTGTTGTAATTCCCAGCATACACGGGAGAAAGCTGTTGCTCTTTGAGATATAACATTGATCTGAATATTCTGGCTCAGTCTTGTGCTTGTTCTTCCTTTAACTTGGTTAGTTTCTTGGGAGAGAAAAAGGATATTTAAGGGAAATGGCCTTTACTTTCCTCCTTTTCTCCATGGATGACAGTAATAAAATGGTTAATTATTTGTGTCAACTGTTCTAGGATACGTTTGAATATCTTTATTAAAGCCAAAGTCTGGATGTTGCTTTTCAGTTGTGATTAACATGTAAATCAGTAGACTTTGAGGAAAGTGGTTCTTAAAGAGCAGCTAGCGGAGGATGGAGACAGACTCACTTAGGATTAATTCTAAAAGACAGTTACAGTTGTGGTTAGTTTCACATAAGTTATGTACAGTTGCTTACCCTACAGTCACATATTATTCATGGCTTAGTAAGGTTTTCTGAATATATACTCACATGATGAAGAATGGAGGGTGTAGAGAGATAGAAGCTTGAGTAAAACCCATGTCCTCAAGATATTTTGTTTATGGTCTGGACGGTAAAATTATCAAAATCAACCTCAACGAAATGTTTTATATTAGTTTTTTCATTTATTYATTCATTCATTCATATAATAATTTATTTAATAAACAATTAATGAACATAATTGTTTTTCGGGAACTGTGCTAGTTACTGGAGTCATAAAACTGAATAAATCACATTTCTTTATCTACAGGCAAATAATTCAAATAAACTTGTAAGGAGGATGAAAGAGGTAGAATTGAATTATTGTTTCCAAATACTCACTTTTCCATTACAAATTAATTCACCCTTGCCTCAGCACATGTAGGGCCTCCTGTTCCTGTTGAGTTCATCCATGTGTCTGACTTTTGCCAGTGACAGGTGACAGGTTGTGGTGAGCACTGAAATTCAAGAGGCAACTATAAAGGGCATTTAATAGTTCTTCTACCTATTTAAATATTTTTCTCTTGCCACAGGAAAAAAAAAATAAATCAAAATAGGAACATGTCCTTTACCTAGGTCCCCCAATAAATGAGAAGGTACATGGAAAATGTTTATCAGCCAAACCTGAGCTGCCTACACAAGGGAGTGAGAAATGAAGTCACTGTAACCACTGAGTATTTTTATTATTTGTTATCAAAGTAGATATACTGTGCTGTCCAATTTTTTATCTATCAAATTCTGAAAATTACTTATTACAAAGGTTGTAAATGAGCTGGACTTTATCTATTCAAGGAAAGAAGATGGTTCTCATTATTTAGAACAGCATGAAAACATCCAGGAAGTATGGATAAGGTTGTTATCTTTGCAAAAGTAAAGATAGTTTGGTAAAATCCATGCGAAAGGAAACAAAGAGAGATTAAACTGAAGAGGGAACAAGGGACATGTCTAGAACATGATCTGAAAAGTTAGTGTCTTTATCCTCCATGCAGGGCTTTAAACTGAGAGTCGGCTAGCTCTGAAAATCATTTCCACAGTCACTACTTACAGTCCTTTGAGGATGCAGAAGCGTGCACGTGTACACACACAAAAAAAAAAAAAAAAGAGAGAGAGAGAGAGAGAGAGAGAGATGAGAGAGAGGGGAGGGGAAGATTGTGGTTCATAGAGGAAATGTTATTTGAAGCAATTTAAAAAATATGGAAAAAAATTTGAAACATTTTAATGTTGGAGGTAGAGTTCAAAGCTATTCTAGGAACAAGGGACGGCATTATAGAAAACTAAAGTTAAAAAAAAAAATAGATTAACAGAGTGATACAGCACCATGTTTAGTGACAAATTTCAATGTCACTAAATTTGTGTCCTCACCAGACAGAAGCTGGAAGGACAAGAGAGCATACTCTATTCTGCATGAATCCTCTTCATCCCAGGCACAAAGGAAGAGGCCTCATGGCCTAATCATCTCTTAAAAGCCCCTCCCTCATAGCACTATGACTTTGGACAACATCATTCAAGAAGAAAGAGACACAGGAATGAAACATCATAAATGCTCTTGGAGAAAGCAGGTAACGGGGCATGGAGTCAGGCTTACCCAGCATCAAACGTCTTCCTCCTGCTCTGTGAACCATCACAGGTCCTGGGGAAAGAGACCTCGCTACCATGAGGAG